GTGCGTTGGGTATTTTCCGGGTGTGTACCCCCCCCCCCCCCGCCCCCCCCCCCGCCTACGCAACCTTGCTCGTACGACTCCCCCGCCCCCCAACCACGTCTTCCCTGCTCTCACCGTCGGAGCCTTGGCGCCCTTGAGGTGCCACCCTTCCCAGTTCTGCAGCCAGACCTTGAGCTTCTTCACCTGCCCGGCGTGCCCGATCACCCCCGACGAGCTAGTCGGCTTGTACTTGTCCACCCACATCTGGCCGGGGTTTTGGCGGACAGCCGCCGCCGCCCTCGCCCCGCCCGCAGCCTTCGAGGAGGAGGAGGAGGAGGAGGAAGTCCCAGCCTGCGGGTAGTCGGTGGAGATTGGGAATTAAGGCAATGAATGCGTTTCGGAACTCGTCTTCGACGCAAACGGATGGCCAGACTACGGTTGTCGTAGAGGTTTATCGCAACCGAAAAATTGACCCTGATGTGTAGTCGTGTCAGGCAACCTCTGTGCGGAACAGAGGCGTCGAGACATGCACACGCCGTACACAAAGTAAAATGCCACCAGCCAATGCGCGCAACAGCAGTTCACAGCAACATGAGACGAGTGCACACGCCGTACAAAGAGTAAAATACCACAGCCACCAACCAATCCCAGACGAAGCAACTCCCCGATCTATCGCTCCCCCCTGCTTGCAGACCACAGGTGCCGTGTAACAGCTACATAGCTCACCGGAGACTTTCCGGCCGGGGCCTTCCCCTTGCCACCGGCGATGACAGCGGCACCGAAAGGGTTGACGGCTGCTTTCTTCTTGGCGGCCGCCTGCATGGAGGCGTACGGGTTCACGACCGCTTTTTTGGGCTGGTAAGGGTTCGCCACGGCCGGCTGAAAACGCGTCAGCGAGGCACGGAGGGGGGGGGGCGTGGTGTGGTTGGGGGGGGGGGTTAGGATAAGGAGAAATTAGGGCTTCTTCTCGACCACAACAACATCAACAACAACAGCAACAGCAACAACGACAACAACAGCAACGACAACAAAACAAAAGCAACAGCAGCGGCAGCATCAACATCAACAAAAACACGACAGCGGTAGCGAGCAACAACAGCAACAGCAACAACCACAGCAGCAACAACAGCACCATCACCACCATCACCAACAGCTACGACAGCAACAACAACAACAACAACAACCCCACCTTGCTGGCCGGAGCCGCTGCTGCCGACGAAGGGTCCTGGCTCCCACCCCCCGGCGGCTGCTGCCCCTTGGGGTTGGAGTCTCGGAGCATCTTGAACAGGCCGTCCTCGTCGATGATTCTCGTCTTCATCACCATGGCCCTCTTGTACTTGCTGCGCGCAGTGCACAAAGCCGGTGCCGGGACAAGGGCCACAAAAGATTGCATCACATTCATATCGATCGATCGGGACGCACTTCGCCTTGTAATCAATCCGGCCGTGAGGTTTACTGCCAAACCGGCACAGTGGGCGGTAACAACAAACAGGCATGGCACGCTAGGTTCCATCGCTGCTGTCCTCTCGTCGCGCAGATCGCCGCATCGGTTTACCAACAGCAACAGCAACGAAATCTCTCCCCGCGACTCGCCCAATACCTCACGGCGCTTCGCGCGTGGCGATGTGAGAGCCTGGTCCGGTGAGAACCCTACGTGCTCCATCCCGGCTTTGTACGGATGCGAGGTCAATGGTCCAACGACCACGACATGCACGGCTACGAGCACACCCCCTCCGACCCCCCATCATCCAAACCACAACCCCGAAACACGTCGCGCCACCCCCCACCGCCCGCGACGCTCGTAGGTGGTATCCCACGCCCATCGCGCGCCCTCAGAACGCCAGGCTACAGCAGTAGCGCCGCGCACCTGCCCTCTTCCGGCGGCCGTCCGTCATCCAGCACCGTACCCAGCACCAGGAAGTGGGTCCTGCTGCTCACGGCGCCGGTCACCTTGCCACCGTACTGTTCGGAGGGGCAAGAAGGGCGGGGGAGAGACAGGCCGCCACGGGGGACGGGGAAAGGGGGTGGGTATCAGGGAGAAAAAATACAATATAAGACACCTACGGTTGGGTTCTTTTGGACGTGGAATTGCTCTTGTGGGGTGGGGTGATCGACGGGCTTGAGCTCGTCGGCAGAGGAAACTCGTGTCAGTAGGTCCGCTTTCTCCACCTTCAACGCGGCCAAGGTCCCAAATATTCGGCCCAGACTTACGGGTGTCCATTCCTGTACGAAATCCGCAAAAAACACACATGCACGGAGAGGAAACCCTAACAAAAGAAAATTGTCCAACACTACAAAACGACAATTACATTCCACGTGTACATGGAGCACCGTTGGTACGCGCTTGCGTACCTGCTTGATCAGGTCCTCGGCCGCCTCCCTCCCGAGTGAGTCGAGCACCCCGCTCACCACGAACGCCTTCCCCGCAAGGCACTGCTCCTTCCCCACGGGCACTTCCTTCTTCCCCTCGTTCGGAGGCGCGAGGCGCGCCCCGCCCCGCCACGCCGGCCGAAAGCCGCCGCCGCCGCCGCCGCCGCCGGGCGTCTTCTTCGCACTGCCACTGCTGCTAGCCGGCGCCGGCTTCTTTTTCGGCGGCGGGGTGGGCGCCACCTCTTCTTCTTGTGCGTCGTCTTCGTCGCTTGAGGTCCCGCCAAGGTCTACCGTGGACGACGTAGTCGTTTTCCTGCTGCCGCCGCCGCCGCCGCCGCCGCCGCCGCCCGGTGCCGCCGTCTTCTTCTTGGTTGTCGCCGAAGAGAAATGCTTGGAGCTGGCGACTTCCTGCACGTCGTCATCCTCCTCATCCTCCTCCACAACCGCCCTCTTCTTCTTCGTCTTCACGCTGGCCTTGCTCGGCGACGCGGCCGCCGCCGCCACCTTAGGCGGCGCCGCCGCCTTAGGCGCCGGCGAGCCCCCAGACTTCCGCTTGCGGGACTTGGACGTGACGTCATCGTCGGCGTCATCGTCGTCGTCGTCCTCGTCGCTTTCCTCGTCTTTCGCGTCGGAACCGCTGAAGGCTTCGTCGTCGTCGTCGTCATCGTTACCGCCCCCTCCCTCACCGTCATCATCATCGTCTTCCTTGTAGTTCACTGCCGACTTCGCCGCTCTCTTCCTGCTGCTGCTGCTGCTGCTGCTGCTGCTGCCGCTACTACCACTGGTTGTTGTTATCGAGCCCCTTCCTGCTGCTTTCTTCTTGCCCGGACTCGCCGCTGCGGGTGAACCCGAGGAGGTGCTATCCTTCTTCTTTTTGGCGGGGTGCGGGGTTACTTCGACCACGTCGTCGTCGCTGTCGTCGTCGTCTGCTGCTGCTGCTGCTGCTGCTGCTTGGGAGGACGCGCCCTGCCCCTTTTTCGAAGAAACGTTGGTCTTGGAGGTGCTCTCCAAACTGAGGGGTGCGGCCGCCGAAGGGATAATAATTACTGCTGAGCTACAGTTCGAGCCCGTACCGAACAACTTGGGAGTGAGGATGACCAAAATTGGGCACGCACCTAAGAGCTTGAGCTCCATTTTTGTAGGGTCGGCTAAGCACCCCTGACACTAAACCTATGTATCAGGCGGCCATCGGTCGGATAACCCTAATAGTCGGGACTGAGAACCTTTCAAGCCTTGGAGGGCAAACCTAGAGGTTCGTACGTGAGTGCGGGAGCTACACTGCTGTGCCGCAGGAGAAAGATGGACAAGAAACACAACAAGAAAGCGGTGTGGTTTTCCTCCATTGCAACCCCGGCTGGTCCGTCCAAAACGTACAATAGATGCCGAAAGATGAACGCATATATAAAACAGACGAAAAAAAACGGTATCGATACTCGACGACACACTGCTGTATTGGTGTAGATGCAACACTCGTCTTTGTATTAGGAAAATACATAATTACAGCAGTAAATGTGTAGCTTGTCTGCGAGTCCGGGTGGTAAAGGAGGCGGCACAATCAACCAAAAATTCGCGCTCTATCGCACATTTCAAGATTTTGAAATATCAAACATGTGTGATGCCTGTTGTTGCGGTTTTGGAGTCGAGATAAGAAAGGATGGCACTCGTTGAAACAAGGAGTCACAGGACAAATTCATTGTTGTTCAGATGGTAGTTTTGCTGCGGGGAGGGGGTACATACGGCAGGGCGGTGGGCATGGGTGATGGTGGCTCGAATTCGCATCGATCCGCCATTCGCCAACCCTATCCACCACGCGCCCAAAGCAGCGGCAAAAGCTTGATTGCACCACAATTGAAGAACTGGTGTGTCGCCGCCAACCGCCGCCTTCCATTAACGTGCACACACCCATGGCACCCATAATAAGAAGACGACGTGCTGCTGTGTGCGGCAAGGACTCACGTCATCTTGCCGACACCACCCTTGCTGCTGTTCTTGGGGATGCTGCTGCTAGCGGTGGCCTTCTTGCTCGGAGACTTCGCCTGGCCACCGCCCTTCTTGCTCGCCGATGCCGGTGTCTTGGGCTTGGGCTTGGGTTTCGCCGCACCGCCTGCCCCTCCCGAGGAAGGGCCGAAGAAGGACCGTATGTCCATGGTCGACCGGGCGGTTGTTGTCGATCTAGGAGTGGTGTGTACCGGAGCAGGGAGGGCGCAGGAAGAGACCAAAAGCAGAGAGCGGACGGGGGCACGCGACTTGAAATTTCAAAAGCTGCCAGCGGGTGGGATGTTTGTGGTGCAGCAGAAAAAGCTTGAAATACAAGGGGACGGGGGGGGGGGATGGTTCAGAATTTGGTTCACATGGAACCAAATGGATGATGCATCACACATGTGCCTTCCTGGGGAGCAGCAGACAGCAGATACACTGCATAGGATTAGTGGGGGAACTCCATCTTGCGGCGAGTGGCGAGGTGCACGTTGTGCTGATGCACGCCACTTGATTGAGAGTTTTCTTGCTTCCACGACAAGGGCTGGTCGGTTCACTCCATGATTGGAAATACAAAATAAACACACTGTAGAACCAGTCCCACAACACACATTTCTTTTTGTTATTTTTCTTAATATGTGACACAACGAATCCATCTCTATCAATGAAAAGAGTCAGAGACAGATTAGCAATGAATTCATAGCGTAAGCGTGTACTTGTGGAGGCGAGCGAAGGGCTCTAGGCTCATCTGTCATTGATTGATGTTGGCTTTGCGGACTCTTCGGGTCCATATTATTTTTGAGTGTGACGACGGGAATCGACCGCGTCAAGTAAGTGTTGTTGTAGATCAGCACAGGGGCGCTTCGCGGACGACCGCCACGGGCAGTCGCCGCTGCGCTCGTAGGTGGAATGGCGATGGCATGTGTGTGCGGGCGGAGTAGTGCAAGGAGAGACCCGATGGCCTCTGGAAATATGTGTTCAGTTGCTGCGGGCGGCCCCGGCGAATGTGAAACCATGAATAATACCATAAATAAATCCGAGTACGCGTATGCATAGGAACACACGAACATCGCAAAGCATGGGCTCACTCCTTTTGTGAGAAGCTACCGTACTTACAGACGCGTACGGACGGCGATCGAGGCTGCTTTAAACCCGAGGTTCGTACAAAGGGGCAATAAACCCGGGGAGCGGAAGAGCAGCCATTTCATCCGCCGAACTTGTTTGTTGTTGTGGAGACCACCTTCATAAAGGTACACTGTTGTTGTCTTCACATTTCTCTCTGCCCAGTACCTTAATCCTCTGCCCATACTGAACTATTTCAACACTTGGCGGGGTCGATTCCTGTGGTCACAGGCTAACTTACCCACAACAGGTATACGAAATAAAATGGACCCGAAGGGTCCGCAAGACAATAGAAGTCAACGACAGATAGAAATGCCACGATTTCATTCCGATTTGCCGCCAGCGGCGGAAAAACACTTATTTATTCAAAGGAAGCATGACGTCGTCACCCTTCCAGGTGTGTGTATAGCCTACACTTGTTAATCGGGGTGTGATTGGTGGACCCATGGTAGATGTCGGGACGCGACATTCTGCCCTCGCCAGTGCTGTGCGCAGTCCGCCCCGAGAGCGCGCGGCACGGCGGGAGGGCCCTCGCAACACAAGGCTATCGGTAGGTACAACCCTCGCTTCGAGGCGAGCTCTACGGGTGGAGAGAGAGATATGTAGGAACGACGACAACTTCACCCACAACAACAGCAACATATACTGCTGTAGAAGCGAGTAGGGCGGCCGAGGCAGCATCTTTGGCCCTATGTACCCGGCTGATGTTGTTTCGCTCTGTTACCCTCCCTGCTGTATGCTATACTCCTGTATGTCCTTTGTATTGCCTTCGGCCTCTGTACTGTGCTTCTTTTTTCCTGTCCTCCCTGCCTACACTGCCTTTTTGGGTACCTTAATCTCCCTTTTGCTGTTGCTTTTGCTTTTATATTTCTGGCTGTCTGCCCATCTGCCTCCTCTTTGTTCTGTTGCCTACATTATTCCCATGCCCTAGTGCGTAGTGCCTGGTGCTGGTACGTCACCCTTTGATTTTTTTAGGCGGGTGTGGGAAGCGTCCTCCTTTTATCTTTATTTTTATTTTGTTTTATTTTGATTGGTTTCCTAGGGCTCTTTTCTCGTCCGGTCGGTGCGGTAGCTGTTCTTTTCTTTCTACCATTTTGTTGTCTTTTTCCGAGTGGTTTGTACCCTATTTTTGTTTTGTTTCCCCGCGGCGTCGTATGTTGCGGGTTTTTTGCGACCACGGGCTCCCCATTCTTGTGGACTATAGAGCTAATGTGAGAAACAACAACAAAACAAACAACAACTCCACCTCCACCCGCCATTCAAACAATAGAACCGACTCGGGACCCAGCCACAGCGGTAAGAAGAACAGCTGAGGCATGGTACGAACAGTGCGTCCGGTGGACGGTAGCGATGAGGATCGACAGCAAACCTTCTCCCGCTGTTAGCCCTAGCCTGTCGAAGCAACGTTTGAGAGAGAGTATGTATCATATCACTGTCACCTCATTCGTGTTCGGGGCACTACTGTATGTCACCAAGGGATTGTGGTGAATGAAGTTGTGCCATGAAGGGAGCTGCCATGCAAGCATGATGGTTGCGCTCTACTGCCACATGCCGAGGCGCTATCGTAGGTTGTTGTGAGAATCTCATCGGATGATAATTTGACGGTCGTCAAAGCACCGTCGTCATCAGATGTTGTCACAACGTCGATGCACACAAGCCAGTAGCACACCTCTTGTGGCCGCCTATCTTGGCCAGCGCCTCTATCCTGCGGCGTGCTCACGTACTCGTCATTCCGTTCTCGTGCTGTCATGCGACACTCCTACGGCCCGCACTTAGCTGGTGACTTATGCATATCCATACACGACTACATGTACATCCATGTACGTCATGAAGTTCCAGAAGACATCCCAAAACAAAATGAACGTTGTTCTGAATGGAGCAGTCGATTGAGAACTTTTCATGTCCGTTGACCGGTACGGATATTATACGGTACTGAGGAAGGTATTTTAAAGTGAGGGGATTCGGCGACGACGACCCCACCACCACCACCACCAGCAAACGACAGAAAGAGAACCTGGCAACTTTCGCCCGTCCGAAAAAATGAACTACGCGACACAAGAGCCGCTGCTGAATTTCGGCGCAGCGTATACGGCGCGAGCCTCGAGCATTTTTCGGGCATCTTAAGTGCGGGCGAGTACAAGACAAAAAAAGGTTCTAGGTTACCTTACTGGGGCTTGTTGCGGTGTACGTCAGGTATCTGATGGTTGGGCGGCGGTGGTTCAATGGTTCTATTACATTGTAGTGTCACGACCGCGGTGCTGTGCCGTTACAATACCAAGCGACAACAACTGCTTCTCACCGGTGTTTCGGTTTTGTCGCGTTCCGTCTCGGTTTATTGCTGGTTCAACTGAAATCTGAAGGCTGCTCCTTCTTCTTCAGCACATTGTTTTTTCAGTTGGTTGAGCGTGTCGCGCTGTGTGCGCTCTCGAGTTGTTAACGCTGCCCGCTGATAAACTGAAAAGTTTCAGGAAGGCAGCCCTGACGACACTCGTCGAGATGCCATCACAATCACAACCACGCTGGAGTAGCTCTGGTCGGATCTTGCAAGGATACGTCGGGGGCTATGCTCACTCCATGGTATCTAGCCCCTGACCTCCTGCATGAAGGCCATGGTACTCTCCTCCGTACTTCTATTTAGGCGATACATGTAGTATATCCCGCCCCCAATTCATAGGTACGAAATGATGTGGCGGAACAACCCTTCCTCGGGGATCTCAATCGCCGCCGTCACCGCCCGCACAAAATTCATCTTGAGCCTTCCCGCCTCTAGTAGCTCTATCTCGGGAGGGGTCTGGCTGCCCATGAAATCCCTCATGGCATACTTCATGATGTTGGCCTCGTCGTAATGGTCGAGCTTCCGCAACCTGGCCTGCCAGCCCTTCGACCTTGCCAAGGACCTTTGTCGACGCGCCCGCATCATGATCAGCCAGCCCCGATCTCGCCACGATTTTTGACCCGGATATCTTCCCAGGCGGTCCACCGCTAGTTGTGTCTTTATCCTCGCTGCGACACGCCAAAGAAGGAGGTGCAACGAGAGCGACATTGCTGCGGTTGGGGGAACGTATACAACCTTCTGTGGATTACGAGGGGAAAATGAAGCACAGGTGACGCCGTACGCCTCCCACGATTCCTTCGAGGCACAGCAGTAACACGGTTTCGCCTTTTTTCACTTTATCGACAGAAGCCACCCCTTGCCGTAGGCCCTACTGCGTTCTAGTATTGTCGAGAGACAGCAACAGGGACCGTTGACACTAGCTGTTCAAATCAAAGAGAGAAAACTACTGCACCCGTTCAACGGGTGAGCACCTAGAATATATCAGCCGGGTGTTGCCTGTAGCATACAATTAATGTAGAAAAGTGACCGTGCCCTCAACGAAGACCCTGTAACAACGACTGCTTCCACGGCACTCACCAGCTTGTCGGGGGAGGTACCAGCAGAAAAGGCAGAGACACTGCAGATGCCGCCAGAGATACCAGCAGAGCACGCTTGCCAAGGGCAAGGGCCCCAGACAAGCAAACAAAATGTTAATTGTAAAAATCTAAAGGATTGGAGCGTAAGAAAGGAAAATATACGGGGGGGGGCGGGGGGAGGTAAGAGAGCATCATGCACAAATCGCGGTGAGCTGCACTCTTGAAAAGTCAAAGCCGGGGCCCAAACAGCATGCTGTGTGCTGCGCGAATCATTCGAGGCGCTGGAAAACGCAAGGCAGTAGTCTACGCTTGAACACAGGACAGAACGACTACTTTGATGTCATCCGAACAAGAACAGTTGTATCTACCTCTGACGCGGAAACCGTCAAAGTATGGGTTCACGGATGAACTGGTTCTCAGCGTTGTCACGAAACTGAGTGCGAGTGCTTCACACAATATGTAACGGGCACGCATACGAGAGACGGACGTCACCAACAGTCTGAGACAAGCGCAAGACCGCCAAAAGTCACCCAATCCGCATCATCATACCTTGGTAAAGTAGCAACAGATGCTCCGCTGACACCGGTCACTGCAACAGAAGGCAGGCCGTGGACCGTGGTGTTAGAATCGTTGGATACTTGCAATGATACATGTTGCATCCTTCGCCCATTTTCGGCTGCCTCTCAACCAGCCATCGATGAGAGTGTGAAACATATACATCGTACGTAGCAACAATGTCCCGGGACAATACGCGTGTAATATGTTACATGTTTCTACCCAGACAGTGTGGTGGAACTCTACGATCTATGGGCGTGAGCGTCGCTTTATCCATGCTTGTCACGATGAAGAACGTATGGACTGTGAGGTTGCCAATCCGAAAACTTCACAAAGTCTTTCTACCACGATGGCGAGCTACGTTCGAAATCGTTTTGTGTTCAGTGATTCTGTTGCACTTGTGAATCACTCCCCTCATCCCCCGATGTAGCCGGATGCGTGTACCGGGAAGTCCATGTGGATCAATTTATCGAGCCACACGTGAGGCGATCATCGCTAGAAGACCCGAGTACTACCGGGGCTAGCGCTAGACGTCCTACTACAGCGCAGGTGTATCACCAATTGAGCAGAACGTCGTAATAGCAACAGCCTACAAACTGCAGATCCATACCACCATTTAGGAACCAAACAATTGAGAACCTCCATTGGTGTCGTTCGCGTGAACGTGCGGGTAAATGTCGAGTTGTTGAGTTAGCCTGCAAAACAACGAGAGGAGGAGTGGATTGCCACGCGTTTCGTGGAAACCGTCGTGGCTAGTTTCTCCCGTGGAACCAAGACAAACAAGCCCGATCTATGTACGGCGAAGGCTTTGTATTGTTTTCTGGACCACGCAGAAACTACCGACATTGGAATAGACCGAGGAGCGAACTGTTTTGTGGTCTTGATTGGAATCGTACAGTGGCGGAGGCTTCCAGCAGGCACGAAAGCAGCGTCGGGGGGGGGCATGCAAACTTCTTGCTTAATCTCTGTCCACAGCAGACTGCGTTTGGAGACGGGATTCCTAACGGTATTTACAGTGTTTCCAGATTTCAAACAGCTATGCCCTTTCTGAGAATAGTCCTTGGTCCTAGACTAGCGATCTTTTAAGGCATCTGGGAACGTGTTGACCACAACAAACAATAACATCATGTACGTGTCTAGGGTTTGGAGACTAACTAAACTAACTGATGCGCGGTTCAGTTGGACCAGTATGGGATTAGAAGGCATAGTACTGAGCGGAGACCGAGCGGTTTCTAATGTGAAGACACAACAACATCAACTACAGCACCTGATACAAAATACTCACTTAATGAACTCCATGAATGGTTGGTTGAAGCGTGACACGGCGAGCAGGAATAAGTTCACGAAAAGCCCCCCGCCCATCTGACAGCAGAGTTGCAACACAAAGTTGGCGGCAAGTAGCGGTTACGATAGGTAGTTGCCAATAGACCGGATGACGTTGGAGGAAGTTGATTCATTCTCGAGTCGACACAAGGGACGTTCATTTATCGATGGATGATACAAGAATGGTGCTCCCATATGGTTTGTCGTCCTCACGAAAACACAAAGCAACTTGAAGTGACGAACTTTTCAATGCACATCATCGGGTGTGTAGCGCGTATCGTTGGCATTTTCTTGTACATGGACGTGGCATGAACACTCGAACGAGGCGGCACAAAACCTGTGTCACAAATACTTCTTGAATGTTCTCTCCTTCCTTTCCTGGGAGTGAACAAACAGTTCGACTCCGGCCCGCTCTTCTTCAAGGAGCGTGTGACTGTGTCGAGAATAACTCGCATACATACCCAGCAAAATATGACGAGGAACCTCATGTAGGACTCCGCGCATTCCTCCTCGCAGCTGTAATCGTCAGAAGACATCCGTTTCGACGGCACCACACCTGGATAGGGAGCATTATAGCGGATTTGTGGAATAGATCGTTGCGACGAACACGGTTCACTCATTATTGTTGCACGTTTGTACCGTGTGTCCTCACAAGGTTAGACGTTGGTCTCCCCCTACCGCGGCAACTCTTTGCTTTGATGGGCAGCCCTCGACCAGCAGAGCACGGCACAAAAAAAGCGAACCGGCGCTTTTAGAGCCGAATGTAGATGGAGTTGTTCGGCGCTGCAGGTCCCCGCGGAGGGAACGTTTTTTATCCACATGCATCGTTTGCGTCTCTCTGCCTTCATTTCCGGCACACGCGAATGTTTTTTTACCAGCCTTCTTTTCGCAACCAACATGCGAAAACGGGTGAAACGAGACATGGTAGTGCCAAGGTGTACCGGTTCCGGTGAAAGTCAATTGACGAATACCTTGAACCGGGTCCTCCTACACGCTCGCCACTCACAGAATGTTCCCTCGACTGGGGCCAGGACGGAAATTCGATAGAGGTGTAACAGTTTCTTTCGTGAAATCGACTCCAAGAAGGTGCTGTCAGGACTGGCACTATATTCGTGTCCATGAGAAACTGGCCAAGTCCGGAAAAAAATGTGCGGATGCCGTTTTAAGGGAAGAGCGCTGTGTTTAGGCAAATCCCGCGTACAACAGCCACGCCCAGAGAAAGAGGGAGCGAGAGCATGCCGTGCAGAGCATCGGGGCTCATATATATCGCACATTCTCTCTATATCGCATACCAAGAGATTCCGTAGATCGGTGTCACCCGTATCCCAAACAGAATAATTGAGGGCTGGCAATTTGTCCGGAACAACTTAGATAGAAGGTAGAAATGATTCGAGCGAAACGAGATTTCAAATCTGGCCTGAGGCCTCGGCGCAAAATAGCGTTCCACCAAGAACAATTTTTTTGTGCGTGTGTCTGTTCGCTTTATCTAGGGTTTAGAGTACATCACTTGATACTAAAGGAGGGTCAGCAAAACCGCACGTGACCACACAGCAGATTGCAGCTGCAGAACACACGCACAGCAGGCAACACACGCTCAGCGGGCACGGCGACACACGTACAGCGGGCAGAGCGGGCACAGCGAGCGAACACATACAGCGGCCAGCGAAGTAGAGTCAATGTGCGCCTCAGCCTCGCGGATGGAGTTCGGGTCAATCGACCGCAACGGACGTCTATTCATTCAATTTTGCTATGAGCTCACAGCAGAGCGGGCACAGCGAGCGACACACATAAAGCCGCGGGGAAAGGGGGTCCCTAGGCAGCTCTGTCTGTCAGTCTGTCTGTCTGTCTCTCTCACACACACGCACACCTGTTTTTTCAACGTATGGTGGTCTTGGCAAAGGCACCAATCGACTCATCGTTGCTATCGCCAACCACTTGGCGCACGAAGCTTTTTGCCGGGGGAATTTTGACGACGAAAGAGCCTTAGTTCGCCTGAAAGCTTTTCAAACTAAGAACAGGATTCGGAGACGGTTTACCTTCGAGCTGGCTCGTTTTCTGTCGATGCGAACTCGCGATGTGTTCAAACGTCATGGGCTACTGATCGACCAACTTCCACCAGGGCCAATCGGTTGGGATCTCTTCGACAAGGATAGTAATGAGGGTAATTCTTTTGGGAGTGACGGAGACGAAGGAAAGGGAAAGGGAAGAAAGGAGGACGAAGACAACGATGGAGGAGGAAAACATGGAGGAGTGGAAGAGAGCAAAGGGTTTGAGCCAGATGACCTTCTCCAAACAAAAAACGCAGGGCTAGGGAAGAACTGGCAAGAGATTGTTGTCAAAATGAGGATCAGAATAATGGTAGCGACAACAAAGAGGATAATGGTGAAAGTACTCCTACACGAACTCGAGTACAAAGTAATAGCCTTTGTAGACGCGTGCAGTTTTCTTCTGTTGCCACCGTTTCTTCTGTCTTTGATCCGAAAGATAGTTTGGCCTCCCCATGCTGCCCCCTCATGGGGTCCCAGTTCATGGCAGATAGAAGTGTTTTGTGTTTTCAACCGCACTACTGTAAGACTGACGTCTTTTCATTGGTCAGACGGTTAGCGCGGTCGATGCTAATGATAAAGACAC